CCGCCGGGCGCGCCCCTCCCTGGGCCGGGCTCCGGCTCGGGCTCCGCCTGCGGCCAGCGCTCCTCGGCGGCACACAAGCGCTACCGCCGCCTGCAGAACTGGGTCTACAACGTGCTGGAGCGGCCCCGTGGCTGGGCCTTCGTCTACCACGTCTTCATGTGAGTTGGCGACCCCGCGCCCCTTCGCGTGCCCTCGCGCTCCAGCCCAGCACTGCCCCTAACGAACCTGGGCTCCCTAGGGACTGTCTCCCCGCCCTGGCTCCGCCTCCTGTCCCCCTACCCTACGGGCCAGCGACCCTCATGTTTCTTCCCCCACCCCGCCTGATCCTCATGTCTGATACCCCCCAGACTGCTCCTACCCTCTGATCTCCCTGACCTGACCCCTGCTTGCCCTGGCTTCTGACCTCCCTCGACCTCAACTCCTTATTTCCATCGTGGTGTCCGGCCCCTGCGCCTCTGTCCAGGTGCTCCCTACATCCAGCTTCTCACCCCCATCCCATCTGCAAAGTCTGGAGCCACTAAAGTGGGCTCCCTATCCTCTTCCCCATCTCTGTTCCCTGTGTTCCTGTCTCCCTTGCTCCCCACACACTTTCTGTCACCACCTCCATCGTGGCTATGCTGGGCTCCCACCTGGGCTCCCCTTGGAGACGTCCCTCTCCAGGGATGTCCCCCACCTTAGCCCAGGGCTGGGCCCTGATCATAGGTGTTTGGGGGTCCCCATGGGCTCTGACTCCGGTGTGTGCTGTGTGTGACTTTATCTGTGTCTTCACTCAGTCTTCCCCTCCACCCTCAACTTCCCAGTGTCAGCAGCAGCGGCCGCCCTGCCTGCCCTACCCTTGCTGGCTCAGCCTAGCTCGCCTGCCTTGCTTGCTGGCCGGCGCACTAGGCCTGGCTCTGGGCACTGGGGAAAAAGAAAGAGGAGAGGGGTAGGTCTGGAAACACTGACGCTGCCGGCCCCCTCCTCCCCCTCTCCAGCCTCCTACAGCTTTCAAAAACACTGACCCCTCTTGGATGTGAAGAGTGAATTTTGGCAGCTCAGAGCTCAGTCTTGGGGGACGGTGTGGCCCAGCTGGGAACATGAGAGGCCCTGCGGATATCAGTTGAAGGGCTGGGCCTGGCGCTGGGACGCTTGGAGGTGCCCGAGAGAGACCTCCAGTCCCTGGAAAATATGCTGCTATTAATCCCTTCTTGCCACTGCCAGAGAGGGCCCTCTCTGGTCTTGGGGTCTCCTGAGTGGCCCACTTGCCTGTCTTCCTTACTCTCCCAACAGTCCTAATGCTATCTGGCTGTCCTTCTGCCAGGCTGAGTTTCCACCTGTGTGTGAGGTAGCCTGTCTGTTCATCTCTCCACCTAACCATTCGGAAGTCCCTCTGCTTATCTGTTTCCATCCCACAGTTGGCCTGTCCAGTTATGTCTGTCCATCTGGCTATCCACCTGTCCGCCTGACTCTTCTACTTGTCTTTTTCCACCTGTCTTTTGATCTGTCTTCCTGCCCGTTCCTCTGGCGCCTACTTGGTTGCCTCTGTCCCATCTGAACTGGGCCCACAGAATGTCAGAGGTGAAGGGGCAGAAGATGCAGCACAGGGGAAGAGGAAGAGAACTCTCAGCCATTAAGCACCCGGGGGTGGCAGCTTTGACTTTGTGCAGAGACCCGGGCTGAGCTAGGCCAGGGTCAGAGAGTTGAGGTTGCTCAGGACACGAGGTCAGGCTTTGGGTCAGGAATAGCCCATTGGGAGGTCTGGGTTGAATATTTGTCACTACAGAGAAGTCAGTTGGAGTGATGAAGGCTCAGTGCTGGTGGAGTTGGGGGTGAGGGACAGGGGACTGCTCATTAAGAGTGGCTGCCTGACAGCCCCCTGGGGTATCCAAGGAGGTGAGACACTCTGCAGCAAACAGCTGTGCCCACCAGGACTCCTCTTGGGAGGTGACTTTTCCAAGGTGTGGCTGGACCTGGGGAAGCTAATAAGGCTCTGATGTACTGGTCCTTAGCCCCCAGGTCTGACCTCTCAGCCCCCATGAGGGTGACTGGAGGTGAAGGACCCGCTGCCTGTTCCCTGGCCAGCCACTGTTGTCACCTCCTCTGGAAGGGCCTCCTCTTCCTCTCCAGGAGCTAAATCCGCTCACACCTTTGCCCCACATCCTGCCTTTTCTGGATGCCAGGAATGCCCTGGCCAGGGGCATGCTGGTCCTGACCATTTGTCCCCAGGAGCCCAGGGCCAGGCATTTCTTGGGAGCTTTGGGGGAGGAAGTGTGGTGTGAAAACGTCTGTTCATTCAGGGAACTGGTCATCCATCGTAGAGGTCAAAGGGGGCTTAGGGGTCAAGACCCCTGCCTCTGTGTGCTCTGTCACCTTGGGTTGATCGCTGGACCTCTCTGAGCTTTAGATTTGTAGGCCGTCCAAGTGGGTAGAAATCCCAACCTTATGGGCCTCCTCTTGGGTGAGGTAATGAGTGGGAAAGAGATTGGTAAGCTGCAAAGGCCTGTCTGAGCGGGAGGAATGGTGTTATTTATTCTTGGGGCTGGCGGAGGGGGCCCACACAGAAGGTCTCTTGGTCTTGAGGAGCTCCAGATGTGGGGTTTCTCAGCCACTTGCTGCAGGGTCTTGTGCGCTCTGGCCGGGAAGTACTTCCTGCTGGTGGACTTCCAGCCCTACCGCTGCATTTTGGTCAAAACCTTTCCCTCCCCAATCTCCTTCAAAGGCAGCCTGAGTAAGGGAGTCCAGTGTGCAGTTAGCTGGGACCCCCTTCCCAGAGACAAAGGCTGTGTCAGGAGGGGCCCCAGCCGAGAAGCCTGGAAGAGAAGCGCTCCGGAAGGGGGCCTGGGGGGACCTGGGCCCATTTGGCCTGGAGGACGCCACCGTCACACCTGCCAGCTGGGCCCCTCCAGGCCCCCACACAGAGCCTGCACCTTTCCTGGCTCCTAGGGTGGGATATTGCCCAGAGGACCAGCCCCAATTCAGGCTCTCCCGTCAGTGGCTGTGCCTCTGGGAAGTGAGAAGTGCCGATTCCTGTCTTCTCTTTGTTGAGATCCAGAATAAAGGGGCCACTGGGCCTCTCTCCAAACTCTCCCTCTCTCTTTAGGACCTGGCCGTCTCTTCTGTCACCAAGCCCATCTCCCTCCCTGTGCCCCCGTCCCTGAGCTAAGCCCTCAATCCTTCACAGGCCCTGCTCTCCGAATTTTTAGAAATACCTCATCGCTGCACATCCTGCTTTCTGAGCCCTTGCAGGGAATGCCCATCCCCTTGCTGCACCCTCTCAAAGCCACACCAGCCTCCCTTGAAGGTAGAGGGCTGGAACGGGCTGGTACTGAGCAAGGCCATCTCTGTCCATCCTCCCCAAGCCACTGTGAGACACTTGCCTGCTGCTCCCAGCCTCCAGCTGCCCAGTAGACTTTCTCTATGTGAAGGTTTATGGCTCTGTAAACATCCTCCCTCAGCCTTGTCCCTGGGGTCAGAAGCTGTGGGAATGGGGAGGGGAGGAGGTGGTGGCAGTTCCTGGGTCCCTCAGACTCCTAATCCCAGAGCCCCCCTCCCCCACTTCCCGCCCTGACCATCTGAGAAAGAACATTGGCTGGGTTGGAATTAATCCCAGCAAAGGGTACCCAGAACCCTCGGGCATCCCTGCTAGATCTGTCCTCACATTTTGACAGTTCTATTGCACTTATGGGAAAACTGAGGCTCTGGAGACCAAAGTCACACAGTCAATTAGTGGCAAATGCCGAGGACCAGACCCTGAGACTCCTGACTCCCAACCAGGACTATTCTTCTGTTCCCTGTGGCCGCCTGGCTTGGCTCTTGGAATTTGCACTGAAATTTCTAATGGTGTCTGGAGCACCAGCTATGTGCTAGGCATTGTGCTAAGCCCTCTCTATAAACCACTCTCACTGTGTCCTTCCCCAACCTCGTGAGGTGGACACTGTCATCCCTCTCAGCTGACAGATGAGGAAATGGAGACTCAGGCCTGGGCACCCAGTTAACATGGAAGAGCCTCAGGTCAGAGCTGGGTCTGACTCGGGGCTGCCGTTCCCTGTGCCTCAGCCTCAGCCTGCACCCCAGCCCCTGGCTTCTCAAGAGCAGCACTCCTGTCTTGTCCATCTCTCAGTCGCGAGCATGCGGGATCAGGGGCTGGTGGGGAGGCGTGGGCAGCAGTAATAGGATTTTGTGGAACTGAATAGAAACTGCCTAGCCTCACCCGCTGCAGTCACGCTTTTGTTATACACACGTCCCTGCTGCGTGCCTGTCTGAACATCTCATGCGCGTATGTGTTGCAACATGGACACACATGCCCACAGATGTCACAAATGCACATGCAGCATACATCCAATGAAAAGAAATCCAATGCACAGCTGCCCCACCTTTTCACTGAGGCACACACCATAGACACATACCTGGGCCCATGGCCCCAGCTCAGATCCCTGAACAGAGCCAAGCTGGCTCCATTCCTTGGGTCTCTTGCCTTCATCTAGACACAACTGCAGGGCTGTCCTATGTGTCTGTGTGTATTTGTGCATCCACTTTGGAGGGCAGCCTCAGAACCAGGTAGGAACGGGATGGCTGGCTTCCTAGAACTTTGCTGGCCTTTTCTCTGTCCAGTCCTTGCTGGGTACACTAAGACACGGAAAGGGGCAGGTACTCACGTAAGGGCACTCCTGGTGAGTCAGTGGTAGAGACGTGCTGGGAACCCAGACCTTCTGCCACATTAGTCCCACATTAGGACTGTAGATAATAATTTTCCTAACCGTAGCCAATAGGGGAGACTGATGCTCCATGAATTTTGCCTTGTGATTGGGAAAGGTCTTTGAGTGTGACCCAAATTTTCTGTGCTGCTGTTTTTCAGTCCCACCCAGTCCTTTTGCTTGGTCTCTGTAAGGAGCAGGCAGAGTGGAGAGACCGTCCCGTTCCTAAGTTGACTTCCTCTTCCTCCTTTGGCTCTTCCTTGCACCTTTTCTCCCTTCCTCCTGAGTTCACCTTTGGGGTCACTGGAGCAATCTAGATCTCTCCTTTTCTGCCTCCCCAACCCCAACTCCATAGTACCTTCATTCTTTCCATTGAGGAAGTCCTGCTGGATGTCTAGGATGTCTAACTTCAATCCTTAATGCTGCAGACACCTATGTCCTCAGAATGTTAGAGTCGGGAGTGTTTTAAGAGGTGATTATTCCCG